CTCAACCCTGGTAAAAAGAAAAAAAATGACATACGTTTCGTCGGCATATAGTCTGCATAAGTCTCAGCAACACCCATATCTTCGTCATCTACTTCTTCCTCTTCTGGTATATTTGGCTGCATCATTTTTGTCGGATCAGCTGCATTCATCCACATTTGTTGTACAGTCTTTCCTGTGATAAAATTACAAATAGTATGAATTTGCTTCTTGAATTGTGCTTTTAATGTCCAAGAGGTCTGAGCACCTTTATCAGCATATTGTAAATACCTGAAAGGCCTGGCCAATTAGGATTAATTCCACTTTGATTAAGCATCTGAACAAGTGGATTAACCCCCATGTTCATCCCAGACATGCCCATGAAGCTACCCATTAAAGCATTTATATCCATGCCTAAGGAATAATTAGTATGAATATATAAATAATATTATATAGCGATTGTAATTTGCTGCTATTAATTCATTTAATACAATAATATGGCTATTTATAAATGCAATATATTCACATGTTATAAATATACATGTATAACGATGTATCTAATCACTCAATATTATTTTTATAAGAGGATAATAAAGACACAAAAAATCATGTTATGTAACATGCAAAATAGTACTAATTAAAATCAGAATAAGTTGAATTAAATAATTATATCAAGAAAACTTGATAGTAATTTATATCAGTTTTGTATGTACACAGGTGATATTCATACATACTTTTATGCAAATCAAAATCTTTAAAAACAAAGTCATGAGAAGGAAATTTGTTTTCATGTAAGATTTCTCATCTCGGTTATTATAGTTAAAAGATATAAATTTAAAACTAAATTTACTTGATTGAAGAAAAGCAGCAGGATTAAATCCTGCGAGGGAAGCTAATCCAGGTGGGAAACCACCACCATATCCACCAGCTCCTGGTAATTGATTAAGTTGATTCATTTGGTTCGTGTTAACAAATCCTGGAGAATTGCCTTGAGAACCTCCTACATGCACCATTTCATAACCTGGTGTCGCAGTCTTTGTTACTAATCCTCCGGGAATTTTGTTGCCAAATTTTTGGTTTAATTCTAAAAATAATTTTTGCAAAGGATATATAGATAATATATTGAAATAGTAAAACTAAAATAAAAGATTTGCCTTTAAATATTATAATATTCAATTTACCATTTAATGCCCCTTGTGCTTTTTCCAAAGGAAAATCTGTTGCTGACAAATCTGGCTTTTCATCTTTGATATTAGCAATTCCAGCGGCGGTTGCAAGATCTTTACCTCCACCTAATACAAATTGTTTCTTTAAGTAAGTTTTGAAACATTGCTTATATAAAATAGTTGAAACTTGTATAAATCTTACAAATAGACAATTTTACAATAAAAAATATATATATATATTTATAATTTACCAGGTACTTCAATTTTATCAGGATCTTCTTCATCATCAAAGTCACTCCCACTGGTATCATCACTCACTCCATCGTCATACTTTTTGTTGCCTATAAAAATATGTTCTTCGATTAACAGATATCTTTTGATAAATCATAAGAGCAAATATCAAATCAAATGCAACGTTAAATCAGAAGCATCTATCACAGAGAAACTATTGATTCATCTTTATTAAAAATGCATGGTCTGTAATTTAGACCAAAAATGCAAAATAAATACATACATATATAAGAACAATTAATTAGTTTGTTTCATAATACAATAAATCCAAATAACATTTTTTGTCAGATGCATGTGCCACAAATTTGAAGTGACAAAGTATCTCTCACAAATTTATTATAATATAATAATCAAAAGCATCTACAAAGCACTCTATAATCTACCTGCGATCGCAGAGAAACTATTGCATCATCTTTATTAAAAATGCATGGTCTGTAATTTAGACACAAAAAATTCAAAATAAATTCAAAATAAATACGTATATATATATATATAAATATATATGAATAATTAATCAGTTTTTTTTTTTTTTAACAACACACTAAATTTAAATAACATTTTTTATCAGATGCATATATCACAAATTCGAAACAATAAAATATCTCTCACAAATTTATAATAATATAATAACATTAATAAATTACTGAAAATTCCGTAAGCGTGATAGCTCAACAGCACAAAAAAGGCATGTCTTTAGGTTAGTCATATAGATAAAGACCAAGATACGCGCTGACCCTTGATTAGGAAGCGCGTAGTCCTTTCAACATACTCTCAGAAAATCCATCTCTCTCTCTCTCCTTCTCTCCCTATCTTTACATTTTTTATTTCGGCCTTTGTGCCGTCTCGAGGACAAAAACCCACCATGACTTCGCGAAGCGTGTTGACTCGTGATCTCGTGTATCTTGTCACGACGTGCGCCGGTTCCGGGGCGACGGCGTCGAGGACAGTTCCTTAGCGCGCGGACACGCACCTGGTGCCGCCGGGACGTGGATACGCGGACCCGGAGCGAAGCGAGCGAGTGAGCTTTTTTTTTCGGCCCGATCGAGAGGAGAGTCGAGAAGGTGCGCGTGCTGTCGCATCAAGCTAGAAGAGCATCGCCGGCGAGGACGACGATTAATCCCCCAGGAGGCGACGAGCTACGACGTCGACACGAGCCGGGTCATCCCACGCGATCGTCGTCGAGAAGGGCGCGCGCGATTCACGTCGTGAGCGCGTTCGCTCGGCTGCCGCCATATTGCTTCCCCCACGCCTGCCTGTCACCTCCCCCACGTTCCAGCGCGACCGACGAGGGTACAAAAACACGCGCCCGCTTCCTCGCGCATGCGCGAACGATCAGTTCGAAGTTATTCAGATTTGAATCTTTTTTTTTATTTTTTATTAATTAGACAGATCGTCAATTAATATTTAAGTAATTAAGTAGATAATATTAGTCATCTTCTTTTTTATCTTTTCAAGAAGGTAAAATATTCACATTTGAATCTTTTTTTTTTTTGATTTTTTATTAATTAGACAGATCGTTAATTCAATATTTCGTCAATTAATATTTAAGTAATTAAGTAGATAATATTAGTCATCTTCTTTTTTTATCTTTTCTTGTACATTTTATAATCAACGACCTCAAAAACATTAAAGTATGCATTATCCGTTCAATTGCTGCACTGCAAAAGTGATTTATTGGCGTTATAAAATATGCGGATTTTCCGCCATGAAGCACTTGGTCAGTTTTATTTGGGCGGATTTTTCCGTCATTGACACTCAAGAGATTACAAAATTGATACAAATAAAAAAAATGTCAATTATAAACCTGGCGCTGCTAAATTAAAATACATGTTAAAGTTAATTTTGAATTAATTTTTGTACAGCCAATTTCTTCAGTTGAAAAAAATTGAACAAAAGATCGTAATGCGCGAAAAATCGCCGGGCGCAGCGCGCATGCGCGAAGAAGCGGCTCGCCGACCGCCCGCTTGATGACGTTTCGCGCCGCCGCCGCCAGGCGGCCGACGCGCGCTGTTGCCGGATCGTCCGGCGAAAATGTAAGGGCAGATTCGTAGGGCGCGCGGCGAGCCAAAAAATTGCCGCGTTTTCGCGACGTTTGATCGCCCGGCGATCAGCGCGAGATTCGTTTTTTCGCGCCTCCCACCTACTTCCGGTTTTCTCCTCGCTTACGCGACGAGCAAAAAAGCCGGGAACGTTGTCGGAGACGTAGATTTCCGTAATTGAATGTTCTTACGATGACCCTCCCTCCCGCGCCCTCGGAATTTTTAAACAAATAGCACGCATTCCGAAAGCCCATTCATGATGAAACACAGGTTTCCTTTTTCTTTTCTTATTTTTTTTTTTTCGTATCGATATCGCAAATAATAGCGAGGATTCGTCGCGAGATGATGAAAGGCGAATTTACGAGGGTGTGAATTAAAAATGCAATTTAAAATGCAAATTTGCGGAACGATTTTTCGGAATCGTGGGTTTTTATTCGTTATACTCAACGTGGTTGTATACGTACCATTTTTATAAGCACACGAATCCAAAATTTAGAAAGACGTTCGTGTTTTTAGCACGATAATAAAATAAAAGCGATATGTAAAATCGCCGAGCGAAAGATCGAGCGGCGATCAAAGGTTGTTTTTCCGACGATGTTTTTCACGTTCCCTTATTTGTTCACAATCACATGTATCCACGATCGCAGTGCGACTGTAGCACCAAACGACACACGAAGGTTTCTGCACAGTCATCGATCAAATAGTCATTGAAGATGGCGAACTGCGCGAAAATTCTCGCGCCCTCTGCCGGTGAACATAAGAAACGATGATCCAATCAAGCATGGACTATTTTAACTATATAGAAAATAATAATAAAATAATTACAATAATAATAATAATAATAATTTTACAAAGTAATAATAATAATAATAATAATAATAAAAGTAATAATAAAAATAATAATAGTAATAATAAAAGTAACTTAAATTCCTACCGTAAAATGTATATATGGACGTGAAAAATGATAAATTATAAAATTGATATCGCAATTTAGTCAAAATAATGTAGAGATTATATCGAATAATCGCGCAGAAAATAGAATATCGACGCTCCCTTTATTATCCTACCTCGATAATCTAATTATCCACCGAGTCTGATTAATTAAAGCCGCGAGCGATATATCGCGTATCACGTAATGTTACGTATACCCGGGTACAGAAAATGGCGACGGCGGATGTCGTAAGTCTGGCAACGTCGCCGCCTGCGTGCTGATCGTTAGATGATTTAAAGTATTCGCGCTAAAAAGAAAAGAAGCCGCGTCGAGCGGAATCCGCGCGAACGCCCATTAAAACCGTTCGATCGCGAATCTCGACGTCGCCGATCGAAACTCGGCGTTGCCGATCGCACGAATAATACAAGCATCCCGCGGATGGGTCGCCAAACGCGACGCGATCCTCGATAAATTCGGTTTAAAAAATAATAATGTCGACGCTCGAGAGTCGCGGCAATCGATCGCGCCGTAGCGTTCCGATTAGGGGCGCGACCGCGCACGCGCCGCCGCCAGCGCCGCCTGGCGGACGCCGCGCGAACTAAGTACTGTCGCGCGACGGTTTCGCGTCTCTCGCGATACATTTTTATCTGTCATCAATTTTCGAGTGATTTCGCGCGGAAATACATTTATTCCGGTTATTCTCGACTCACCAGGAGAATGCAAAATCTCGAAATAATTCATAAATACTCGACGTGACATTTAACGCTCCGAAAGATCAGACGAAAGAGCGTTATATATCATTTCCGCCGTGTCTAATTGGACGTCGCGTGCAACATGGCGGCACATCCGGCGCTTGCTTGTATAATAATTTAGACTCCTTCCTGAGAGAGAGACGGACAGACAGAGAGAGAGAGGAGATTGTAACCGTTCGCGAATCCTTTTCGACTCGACGTTTCGCAGAAAATCAAATATTCGGAAGTCGAGGAGACGCGTCCGAATTTTTGCTGTCACGTCGCGTCTCGTCGACGCTGCTGCGTTATTTCGCTGCCATCCGTCCGTGGGGGAACTGCGCTCGGCGACCGGTGGTTTATCATGCACAGGACGACCCGGGCATCGTCCCACCGCGTGGGAAACCGCGCCGAGAACGTCGTCAAAGGTGAGGATGCGTCGGGTTGCGTTCGTCGACATTTTCACTCAGCATTTCGCGCTCAGCCGGTCGGCTAAGAGGTTATCGTCGCGTCTCTTTTTTTCGACGAACCTCGCTTCCTCTCTCTTGCTCCATTTTGAACGCTAACCCGTAGAGACGCCCCCGCGTAGAGACTCTTCACGACGACGACTCCGCCGCGAAGTCTCTCCTCGCCGAGAGGACTCGAGCCTCGAGTTTCTCGACACGGCTGTGTCTTAATTGTTAATGATGGTCCTCGTCAAGCTGCGCGATTTTCGATAGAACCTCGGACTAGAGCGTCTGGGTTAGATTCTAAATTAACGTGGAGTGCGATAGTTTAGGATGTCAGTTTTATATGGCAATTTGTTTATGGAAATATATGTGAGATTAGAGTTTCGATCGTATGGCATTTTTTCTGAACTTGTCATTTTCTTTTCTTTTTTTTTTAGAGTTTTTAGAAATTTTATTGTGACTTTATAAATATATATTTATAAATATTATATATATATATATATTTCCATTTTCTTAAATTAGCAATTGTATTTTTATACATTTAGCCCCTTCTTAACATTAGTATTTACAAAAAAGTCATACTCCTAATACCTAAAACTGATATTTAATATCGATTTTAATATTCCTTTTTTAATTCTTATATATTTTAATATTATGTGTATGTATTAGATATATAACATTCTTTATTTATTATATTTATATATATTTTTTATATATTGTTTAATAGTACATATTATATATATTCTTTCTCAATTAAAAAAAAATATTATATAATAAATGAACTACACAGGAAGACGGAAATGTGATCTAGAAAAAAATGTAACAAAGACTGTATCTTTGCCTGTGCAAAGTAAAGATGTAAACTCACCTGTGAAAAAAGAGAGTAAATTATTTGACGCTGACAGTAAAACTGTGTCAGATAGATCTAATGTAACTAAACCACAATTTATATTGGAAACGCATAAACCCTCTACAAATACAATTAATTCTTATCAAGTAAGTATCTCGCATTAAAATCTGTAAATCTTTTACATATAATTGTACTTTTATAAATATGCATGTAAATATATAATACTTATTATGAAATTACTGCAGCATCATTTTATTTGTTTCAGAATTCAAATGTGGAAGTTACAAAGGGGAAAGGTCCCATGTCACTTACGCATTATTTTTTTGGAAGTGCACAAGTTGTTTCAAACTGTGAAAATGCAAAAAATAAAGTCATCTCTGCCGTAGAAGAATTCAAAACTGATGGTATAAATCATACAAATCTCCATATCATACTTGATTATTCTCTTTCTAATTCAATTTATGATACATAAAAACTTTTATCTTAGAAACACCGGTGGCTGTTCCAATTCATGGGCCATCTACACCGCATAGAATAAATATGCCATCGGAAGATTTAAAAGAAGATGAAAAAGCTACAATTACTACCAACGAAAAGCAATCTGTGATTACATTACTTAATTACCCATTGCAAGATAAGAAAAAATCTGCCACACGTGGACGTAAAAAAGGAGTATCCAATCAATCCAATAATCGTTCACTCAAGCCGCGGGGCGCTGAAACAAATCACTCGATTACTGACTACTTTCCAGTACGTCGTAGTGTCAGAAAAAGCAAGAAGGTTGTACTAGAGGAGAAACAACGTGATTTAGAAAATAAAGTACTTTGTCAAGTAGAGGAGGGCTTAGAGGTAAGAATCCATGTAAAGAAGTTGTACAATTGTAATAATATCAATTTAAACTTTTATTAAATATTTCTGCAAATAAGTTACAATTTATTTCCTGTTTTACAGGTGAGATGTTTTCCGGGTAAAGGTCGTGGTGTCATAACAACGCGAGAATTTGCTAAAGGCGAATTTGTAGTTGAATATATTGGCGAATTGATTAATCAGGGGGAGGCGAAAGAGCGTGAAAAATTATACGCGCAAGATCAAAACACTGGGTGCTACATGTATTACTTTCAACATCGTAATCAGCAGTATTGGTAAGCATATCTTTAGAGTTTGATTAAATAATTATTCTTTATGCGAAAATATTGCATAATCATTTTAATTGAGATAGAAAAGGCATAAATGTTGATATATTATTTATAATTTCCAGTGTTGATGCAACAGCGGAGACTAAAAAATTGGGCCGGTTAGTCAACCATTCGCGAAATGGCAATTTGATTGCACGAATCATCGAGGTCAGTTCGACACCGCATCTTGTACTTACAGCGAAAGAAGATATACCGATTGGCGTGGAGGTTTCATACGACTACGGAGATCGAAGTCGCGAAGCTATTCGTCATCATCCATGGTTGGCATTATAGCACTTTCCATTTCGTTATTTATATAACATACATTATATTGTATAAAAGAAATTTTCTTATTTATGTTCCTCCTATGAAGGAATTTTATATATATAGACTATGCTGAATTGTGTACAAATGGTCTTCGAAAACAAAATTGCAGCCTAGGAATTTAAGAATTGGATATGCAATTTTGTAAAATGCTTCTATGCTAGTAAATTCCAAATACTTCTTTTTACATCACTTTACGAAATTAATTTGTTTGAATAATTGTAAAGATGTTTTAATTCTTAATCATTTATTTTTTCTTACATCAAAAGTGAAAAATGATGATATTTCATTGTAATGAGCTTCCTCAATGCATAATACATCATTAGACGTTCTTATTGTTATCATATTCGATTTAATTTGCTTTTAATAATAATTTTTAAAGGTTTTGAAATTTTTGAATTGTCACTCAATATGTTTAATATAAAAAAAGCAGTATTATTACCAATTAAATTGGAAATTTTCGTATTTACTCTTTAAATTATAATGAATTATAACAAAGTGCTTCATCTAGTTTCTGGTTGAAGCATTTGTGATATACGTGTGTGTGTGTGTGTGTATGAATATGATATTCTCTGCTTTTCTCTTAAAAAAAAGAAAGTATATATATATATATAATCAATATGATTCACAAATTTTTTGTTGAGATATTTACGCAACACAAGCTTTGAATTCTTGCAAGTACTTCACTGCCACATATTTAGATGCAAGAATGTTCCCTAAAACAATTATACAATAATGATATGTATGAGTAATATTTCTCAATCGCATATATTTTTTTAAATGAAAACACTAGATAATAGGAATGCTATCGTTTCATCATCGATTATTTATAACATAAATATGCATTATTATTTAATATTATGATATTGCTTGTGTACTTTTACATTATTGTTATCAGCTATTCTATTTTTGAATTCATAATTAAGCATGCAGTTTTTCTAAGAACAATTAGTTAAAAAACATCTTTTTCATTTCTCTTCTGTTATACTTGTTTTCAAATTATAATAATTTGAAAACAAACATATATAAAATATATACACAGAAAGGGAGAGAGAGAGAGAGAGAGAGAGAGAGTAGAAATAATTTTTAGTAAAAATTTTTTATTCTATTAGGTAATTTGTTGATCATATTCATTGCACTTATTTGTTATAGATTAGACTTTCGATCATTTCGCACATATACAAAAAATAACATATTGTTAATAATCATAAATTTGTATATATAATAGTATTTTATTTATATTTATTTGTTCTTAAATTTATAAGCGCAACTCTCTTTTTAGAATATGTCAAAGTTTAGTATTTTTCCAAAGGTGACTATATTCCTGATACTTTGCAGTTTAATCAAAAATTGCTATTTGTGTTCTATAAAAAAATGTATGTATAGTTATAGAACAATTGTGAAGGACATTTATTGTATAAGAAAAACGTTGCATAAAAAGATTCTGCTATATCAAAAAAAAGCATTTTCTCTTGTCATATATAACTTTTATACGATATTTATAGTGATAAAATGCACCCACATGAATCTATAAAAGGAAATTAATAATGCGACTGATAAAAATATATTAAATATAAGTAATTATTAAAAATGTTAATTTTAATTATTAAAAAAAAATATACAATAATTGATAAATTTTAACTATAAAGGAAATTAGGAATTTTATATTATGTATATAGTGTATATATTATGAATATTTATATAGTTAATTTTTTTTAAATGTAATAGTATATATATATTTCATACAGGGTGTTCCATAGGAGATTGCTGAAACTAATCAGTTGTCATTTTTTAATGCACCCTATAAGCGCATGATATTATTTAATATTTAAGCAATATTCTAGGCGTATTTTTAGAATATTTAATATTCTAAATTCTAAGAATACGCCTAGAATATTAAATAATATCATGCGCTTAAAGGGAAGCAGTTATTGAGAAAACAAAAATTGTGTTAGAAAGAGGAAAGTCTGCAGTTTTTAATGAATATAAATATATAATGTTTGTATACCATGCTATTAAATCTGGCAGTGTTAAAAATATTTATTTAATTAGTTTATGTGATTATTAGCACTTTTTCATTACTTTTTTTTAATAAAATAAATTGATATACAAACATTTTATTTCATATCCATTAAAAACTGTAGACTTTCCTCTTTTCAACACAATTCTTGTGTTCTCAATAACTGCATGCCTTAAAAAATGACAGCTACATGATTAGTTGCAGCAATTTTCTATGGAACATCCTACATGTATGTGATATATATATATATATATATATATATATATATATATATTTTTTTTTTTATATTTATATATTATATATATATATTTTTTTTTTATTTTCTCAATAACTGCATGCATTAAAAAATGACAGCTGATTAGTTTCCTATGGGCCACCCTGTATGTTGTGATATATATAAGTCATATAGATATATGTAAATTTTCATTGATGCCGACGGTGGCGGCAAGAGTGACGTAGAAGACACGAAGATGCGAATGGGCGATGCTGGATATTGATCCTTCCAATTTACGCGCGACACACATGTTTTTGACACATGCACGCTCCGTTTCGCGGAGCGATCTGGAGCGTTCACTTCTACGATGAAAGACGCGTTCGTCATCGTCGCGGTGCACCCCAGGTCGACGGATATACATCGGCACTCGTACAAAAAGAAGCATGTCAACGAGGAGGAGTGCATAGGTTAACGAGAGGGCGATCCATTCCCGTTTGAATGAAAAAGAGTTTGACAATGGACAACGTGGCGACCGCCGAGTGTCTCACCCTGGATTTCGGCCCGTTCGAGACGGTACACCGATGGCAGCGTATGCCAGAGTGCGACGAATTCGTCGGTGCCAGGTAAAGAAAATTATCCACATTCCTTGTGCTCTCTCTACTTCTTTTATGCTATTTTTCCAATTTGATTTGGAACGTTTATTTATACGTTGTATAATTTATTTAGTCCATCTGTCTGTAATAAGTTTTATTTTTTAAACATTTTATATAAAGATACACAAAATATATTTAGGTCATCGGTGCCAGATAAACTGAGTAAATCATGTACCTTCTTGGTGCTTTCTCTGTTTTTGCTATTTTTCCAATTTGATTCAGAACATTTATTTATATGTTGTATAATTTATTTAGTCCATCTGTCTGTAATAAGTTTTATTTTTTAAACATTTTATATAAAGATACACAAAATATATTTAGGTCGTTGGTGCCAGATAAACTGAGTAAATCATGTACCTTCTTGATGCTTTCTCTACTTTTGCTATTTTTCCCATTTGATTCTGGACATTTATTTATATGTTGTGTAATTTATTTAGTCGGTCTATCTATAACAAGTTTTATTTTCTTAACATTTTATATAAAAATGCACAAGATTTATTTAGAAGGGTATTTAGTTGTCGATATCACATTCAATTAATTATCCTTTTTCCTTTTTGCAGACGCAGCAAACACACTATTGTGGCATATAAAGATGCTATTTACGTTTTTGGTGGTGACAATGGTAAAAGAATGTTGAACGATTTACTGCGCTTTGATGTGAAAGAGAAATCTTGGGGCAGAGCTTTTGCAACGGGAACTCCACCTGCCCCTCGCTACCATCACTCTGCTGTCATTCATGGATCATCTATGTTTGTGTTTGGTGGCTATACTGGGGATATACACTCTAATTCTAATCTGAGTAATAAGAATGATTTGTTCGAGTATCGCTTCCAGACTGGTCAGTGGATAGAATGGAAATTTATTGGACTGTAAGTATTACTTTTGTATGCCTCAAGAGTTTCTTTTACCTGTCTGTCATGTATTCCTAGTTCTTTTTAAATTAATAAATTTAATAAATATATTTATTAAACACATTAACATATTTGTAGGACTCCGGTGCCTAGGTCTGCTCATGGTGCTGCTGTATATGATAATAAATTATGGATATTTGCAGGCTATGATGGTAATGCTAGATTGAATGATATGTGGACAATATCATTGTTGGTATGTTTTACTTTCTAAATAGTCACAAAATATAAAGACCACAAATATATTAAAATGTACTGAAAGTTATATAATTTGTATAGTAGATATCTTAATTTAATTCAATAATTTTAGCCCAATGATCTCAAATCATGGGAAGAAGTTATTCAGGCCGGTGAGCGTCCACCGACATGCTGCAACTTTCCTGTCGCAGTAGCTCGAGAATCAATGTTTGTCTTTAGTGGCCAGAGTGGGGCTCGGACAACCAATAGTCTCTTCCAATTTCATTTTAAGGAAAGACGGTAAAGGACTACACCAAATACATAAGATTTTGGCTTTTGGTGGAATTGGCTGTTTTTTTTTTCATATATTGTAGATTATGTCCTGCTGAACAAAATATGTAATAGCTTCAAAGCTAAATATTAGATAGTTACTGAGTTACAGTCAATCAAACATCTCGAAAAGTCCTAATTTTTCGTGTTTGGCTGCAAATCAATTTTATGATCTGCTTATTTATATATTATTATATTATTGAAATTATTTATTTTTATATAAATAAATTTTTTATTTAATTACTTATAACAATATTTTAAAGAATTAATTATTTAGATAATGACGCTATTAATATATTTAAGTTAATTGTGTAAAATTTTAAATTAGATTGAAGGGAAGACATATAAAATTAGAGATTTAAGTAAATATTTTTATAAAAAATTTAGTTTACTTGTTTAACAAAACCATGGTTTTTTTATTAGAAAGTTAATTAGCTTAATATTCAGCTTTGAAACATGATATAATCTATAACATATGAAAGAAAACAGTCAATTCCACCAAAAGCCAAAATCCTTTTATTTTATACGACAGGATAGAATACATTACATATATGTTTCAGTTTGCAATTTACGCAGTTTTGTAAATTATATTTTTTCCAGATGGACGCGAATATCGACAGAGCACATTTTACGTGGTGCACCGGCGCCACCCGCACGACGATACGGTCACACGATGGTCAGCTTCGATCGCCACCTTTACGTCTTCGGTGGTGCGGCCGATTCAGCTCTGTCCAACGACCTCCACTGCTACGACCTGGACACGCAAACATGGAACGTCATCTTGCCGTCCAACGATAGCCAGGTAGACAACCTGTCTGTGCTTTGCGAATATATTTTTCTTCGATACAAACGTTTCTTCTTATAACACTTTTTATAATAAATTCTTATAATACTTACTCTTATAAGAGTTAATTTTTTAATATTATAAGATATTATAATACATTATAATAATTAAATATTAAATATTTAATTATTATAATATTATAATATTTATATAGATAAATAATATAATTTATAATATATTATATTATATATAATATAATATAATATAATATATTATTTATAATATAATATTATATTATAATATTTTAATATATTAATATTAATTATAATATAATTTAATATTACAAGATATTAATATAAAATATTATAAGAGTCTATGCAGACTCTTCTCATAATAAATTCTTTATCTTTTCTGAAAATAATATGTTGTATGTAGGTACCACCTGGTCGACTCTTCCACGCTGCAGCTGTGATCGGAGAGGCAATGTTCATTTTTGGAGGAACTGTGGACAACAATATACGTTCCGCGGAGATGTACCGCTTCCAGTTCTCGTCGTATCCCAAGTGCACGTTGCACGACGACTTCGGCAGATTGCTCAATATTCGTCTCTTCTGTGACGTGGAGTTCATCGTGGGCGAGATGGAGACCAAAATACCGGCGCACATAGCTATGGTAGCGGCGCGTTCGCAATTTCTCCGGGCGCGGATTCGACAGGCTCGTGAAAAAAGAGACAAGCATTTGGAACAAGTGTTCGGTAACGCTGACGTATCCATCAAAGTTCCGCCTTTGGAGGTAAATGCTTTGATTGAAACATTGAATTTAATATCACGTATTCTCATTTTACTTTATGGAAGTAGGAAAATTTAAATTTGTAGGAAGAATAAAAGAGATATTATAACGAATATAAATATATATATATATATATATATATACAAGGTTGGATAGTATCTAGTTAATTAGTTAAAAATGAAATAAAAAATTAAAAAGTTAATAACTTTTAACTTAGCTTACAATTAATTAATTAATTAAAAATAAGTTAATTTTAACTTAAACTAATTATTTTTAAATTTATTAACTTTTTCTTACAAGAATGATGAAATAAATAAAGATAGTGTTAGTTTTTATTTTTTTCATAATTCTAATTACAAAAAAGTACATTCTTATATAAGCAAAATTTTTGTTATTTCTTTATTTGTTATTTTATAATAAATTTAAAGAAATTAACAAATATTAAATTAAATTAAAAAATTTTAGAGTTGACATTTTTTAATTTAATATGAATATTTAAAAAAATTGAACTTTTGATTAACTTAAGTTAATCTTAACATTTAACTGATAATTAGTTAGTTTTTGTTCATGTAACTTTTAACGTAACTAAATTAATTTTGCAAGTCATTAACTTTAATTTAATTTAATTAAAAAATTAACTTACTCAACCCTGTATATAATATAAATTATTACAAAAATATATTTGATCAAGAAAATATATTTTAAAATATATTTTATAAAATTTTACTAGTTTTTACTTTTAAACTTCAACTACATATGTGACAATTGATGGTAAAACTTTTGAAAAAAAATGTGATATCTTTCTTTGTGGCATCAATTTAAAAGACTAAAAAAGATAAATATAATTAATGATTTTATAAAATCACTAAATTTGTATTATTATTTTGTAGGTGATATTGAAAGATGCCGTACCGGAAGCCTTTGAAATGGTACTAAACTACATTTATACCGATCACATCGATCCCACTAAGAGATCGGACGACAAGGTCGAGGATCCGCAGAGTAATCGCATTGTACTTCTTATGATGGACGTGTATCGTCTCGCCGTGCAATTTAATATGGAACGCTTGGAACAATTGTGCGTTAATTACCTCGAAGCTACCATAAGTCACGCCAACGTCTTAGAGGCCTTGCGTAACGCCGTGCACTTGAAGCTATATTTTATAAAGGAGTTTTGCCTCAGCTTCGTCGTCAAGGAGAATAATTACAATTTAATCGTGATGAGCCAGGAATTTGAGACTCTCGATCAGCCACTAATGGTGGAAATCATTAGAAGACGGCAGATGCCGCAAGCTAGAACCTTCACGAAGTTCGAATACGAATGTGTCACTGGTATGTACAGGTGTCCTATAGGAAATTGCTGAAACTAATCAGCTGTCATTTTTTCATGCATGCAGTTATTGAGAAAACAAAAATTGTGTTGGAAAGAGGAAGGTCTGCAGTTTTTAATGGATATAAATAAAATCTTTAAATACTAGTTTATTTTATTGATAAAAAGTAACGAAAAAAGCGTTAAGTGTAGACTTTCCTCTTTTCAACACAATTTTTGTTTTCTCAATAACTGCATGCATTAAAAAATGACAGCTGATTAGTTTCAGTAATTTTCTGTGGAACACCCTGCATTTTTCACATTGTATATTTGCTTTTTTACAGAGTATTTTTTACATTAATCAAATTTGCTTGCTAGGAACTAGTTTGGAACAAGATCTGAAGGCGTTTTTGAAGAACGTCGGTCGGGAATTTTGCGATATCACCTTGATGCTGGCCGATATGCCGATAACGGCGCACAAGGCCATCCTTGCGGCGCGATGCAGCTACTTTGAAGCAATGTTTCGATCCTTTATGCCTGAAAATAATATGGTGAATGTAAGTTTAGGCAGTTTATAAAAATAGCGATACATATACTGCTGACATTTTAAATGAAAGAAGAGAATATATATTTTACAGTGCAAGTAGTAATAAAATATATTATTTTTTCTATAGATACAAATCGGGGAGATGATACCGTCATTGGAATCTTTTTACTCGTTGTTGAGGTACATTTATTATGCAGATGTTTCGATGCCTCCTGAAGACTCCCTGTATCTGTTTACTGCGCCAGTGTTTTACGGCTTTACGAACAACCGGCTTCAGGCGTTTTGCAAACAGAATCTTGAGATGAATGTTACTTTCGAGAACGTTATACAAATCTTAGAGGCAGCCGACAGAATACAAGCTACTGATATGAAGAAGTATGCTCTGAATCTGATAGTTCATCACTTTAGCAAGGTAAAAAAAGAGATTCAGATCGCATTCGATATATAACATTGCTATCATTTCAATAAGCATATATCTGTATAATAAAATATCGCTTATATAGGTTGCAAGGCTTCCAAGATTAAGGCAATTGAGTCGCGAGCTTTTGCTGGATATTCTAGAAGCACTGGCTGATGAACGCAGCGAGGCTAGAACGTGTCAAGATATGACGAGTGATTGCTGACGGATTTCTACTTCAGATCGTCGTCCATGTAATTGGGATTTACCATCGCCGTGCAGTTTCCAGGTGAATAAAAAATATCTTTAAAGGGGAAGGTTTTATATTTCTTATTTCCAGTATTGCCGAGTTTTATCTCTATGAAATAACAAAAACATAGGTACAATAAATAATAAATTATGTATGTATATATAATAAATTAAAATTATAGGAATTATTATAATAAATTATAATAATTCCTATATAATAATTCTATATATAATAATAATTATATATATATTATTATTATATATAGTATTAATATATATAATTATTATTATATATATAGTATTAATATATATATATTATATATATATATATATATATATATAATAAATTAAAATTATAGGAATTATTATAATAAATTATATAGGAATTTCTATATATAATAAATTTAAATATTTCCATTTTCCATTTTAGGAATTGTGCCGGGTGAATTTCATTCTCATAGGACGAACGATTCTGTTCGTCGGCAACTGTTACCTCGATCATACAGCTAAATCTTGCTCGACATCGGACATACAGACTCTGTTGCCGTTGTCAATGTCTACATCGTCCGCTTCGATTCATGAATCGTCCACCACGTGCAATGCCGGTCATCCGGACACGTCGTCTCGTTGTAGCGACGACAGGAGGCAACATCAGTGGTCTACCTCGTCCATTACTCGTCGCTGTTCCGTCAGTTGCAACGTATTGAGGCGCACCGTGGTTGCCCTTTCAGACTTCGGCCTTAGAAAATTGTTTCCATAAAAAATGGCAATGACTTTTCCCATGTTAGAAAACTGCTCGATATAAAACTGCGTTGTGCGAGAGATCTTGATGTACGATATTAATATAGTGACTGTGTAGTGTCTCACTGTGATGTAACGGAATATTAAAGACGTCATACGACAAGATGAGGGAGGAAAATATATTTTCCATGGATATATATGTATATTAATAGTTATATTTGGATAATGATGTATATTATTATACGTTTTCTTAATTAGCGATTGTTATGCTATTAATTTAATTGTACAGAGAGTTAAAATATAAATGTGAAAACAGAAAAATAAAAATAAGAAAAGTTCGCGAAAAACTAAATAATAAAAAAATGTGTACCATTTTTTTTATTAGGAACAATATTCGACATTAAGAAATATTTGAGTTTTTGAAATTCTTTATGAGTTTAGTTAGTGCATTTGCACGATTATATATTTATTTTATGTGTTCGCGATTATTAAATTTGACTTTATTAAATATATAATGAATTATATGTAGCCGCAAAAGAAAATCTATATTTTATTTTATATATATTACAATTTTGAGCTGCGTTGATGAAAACGATAGTTGTAACTTAAATTGAAACATCTAAATTATACAATTCTTATTTACGAGAATAAAAAAATAGATTATAGGAATGATAATATTATAACGAGCGCAGTTAATAAATTATGTATTATATTTTAATCTCGATTATAATTGTACATACATGCGATTCGTATTTTTATGGAAGTAATTTAATTGTTTCAAACTTAAGGGCAAATAATACGAATCGAGGAAACGAGAGGAATACCAGACAACAGGAGCTCGTATAAAATCATTGCTCTTATCTCTTCCCGTCTCTCTTTCTTTTTTCTACATAATATTATCTCTATATAGATGGCATTTATATTGTATCTAATGTTATTTCTAAATAGGTGGCATTTATTTTTTCAATACACGTCCAATTAGCAATGCATTTTAAGAATCGGTCTCGAAGTCGATTCTTTCATCTTGGAATAAAATCGTCCAGACGGATTTGTACTTGTGAAGCAAATATCTCTTCTTTCTGCGTTTCTCCTATCTTTTCGTTCCTTTGTCCTGCCGCCCATCAAATCGTGCTATTTCGTAGGAAATAACGTTTATAATCCATTACAGCTCGGTTTTCAAAATTTTCGTTGAACCACACACGTTGACGACACACAATACTTGGACAAAGCCATCAAATTTTCATGAATGTAACGAAATGACTAAACGGAATGCGAGTTTGTAAGCAAAGAGTATACATTAGTCAAATGTAAAAGAATATGATCACAATATTTATGCTATTACTCTCAGTTTGAAATATTATTAGATAAAGAGTGATCGGCTATTGTATCTTATTGGATTATATGATTCAAATTTTCTCTTACATTTGTTATTTACACTTTATATGGATAAAATGCTCGAAATAGAGAAGTAATCCTTCTGACATCATTCTGTAATTTAACGTCTAAGTTACATCGGGGCGTATTCCATTCGATCATTTGTTACATTCAAGGTTGTTTCAAGTAAACGTTTATTACTTTTCATTTATTCATCTGCGAAATCGTTAAGTTCTAACATCCACCAGAGCCGCCGCAAGACAATGTGTAAATGTAAATTGTGCATTGCATAAAAGCGCGAAGGGGAAGAAGCTACTTTTAAGTCTAAAAAAATTGAATTATTATACGTGTATTTAAAATAATATTTTCTAAAAATTCAATTTTTTTTTTCTTATTAAATTCAAGATTCGCAATTCAAACTTTTGCAAACAAGTATATATGATAATATTGTTTTATTTAATAACAGTTTCAGAAAAAGGTGTCTTCGAATTCGGTATATGCGACTCTAAAGTAATCTTTTTTTTTTGTTTTAGAATAAACACAAATACAGAGGTTTGAAATTTCATTTATCTTAAAATATTTTGACATCATCTTTCTATATTTTTCTTAATCCATTAATTTATTCGTTGAACCTGAAAAAAGGCAATTGTACTTGAAATCCTTTTCTTATATAGATTATTAGAAAATATTTAATGCGTCAAATTGTGTTTCCATGTTTTCGTTAAATATCAATACCTTACTCTCTAAAAATTTGTCTTCGCTAAAACGTTAAAATAAATTATTTTACAAAGGCGTCTGAAAAGTCAACGACGGCCCTACACATTCACTATATAATCTTAATTATTGTAATTACGCTAAGTAGGCCTTTTTGTTCGTCGCTTAAAAATTTAAATCGTCTACATGTTAAATATTGCATCTGCGACTCTGTTCAACGCCGCAATGCAATGTTAAACACAGACAACTCGGACTTGGATAAATATTACAAAGAAACATCTACTGTTACAAGGATAACGAGATAAAAGTAGCAATACGGTCGTGGTACAAACTTCACGTTGATTTCGAATGGCCCCAATCTGAAAATGCAGAAACAAAACGATATGGGCAATTTTTGGCTCTATATCGTTTCACGACGGTGTGACACGCGCGTCTTACCGATTGTAAAATTGCTTGATTCGTTTCCAGATAGAATTCTAGAGAGTGCGAGACAATCAATCCTCGAAGATCAATGATGCTCGAATTTTTGTTTTTTTTTCTATGTGAAAGTGTGTGCAGCACTCGCACATAGAGTTAAAGAGAAAAATGCATCTCGTCGAGCATTACATATCATCGTGTATATCCACGTCGAGCTTCATATATCACGTACATCCATGCGATGTGGTCCATACCAGACATTCTTTGGGAAATTCTTCTTGCAGGTCAATTCACTGGTCATTTCTGGGAACAATAACAATAATCTGTTATCAACGAACTATTAAACGAGAAAATTTATTAAAGCAACATTGATATAAAATATAATTTTAAAACATTTTATCATTTTTGGTCACATTTTTGTTCATACAATATCTCATCCAAGTTGCATAAAAATTTTTAAATAGTAATTAGAAAAAAAGTATTTTAATAACAATTTGTTATAAATTGATATAAATGCAGGTTTATTATATTATGTTTTAATAAAAAAATATACAGCGTCTATTCAAATTTTGTAAAAAAATTCTCTGAGGATTCCCTGATTTTTAAAATTCCAAGTAAATTAAGTAAATTAAATTATAATATAAGTTTCTTCATTGTATGCGCTTTTTAGTGTTTTCTATACATACCATTGCAAAGTTACGAGTGCAGTTTTCCTAGTTATTAATTATAAAATTAATTTGGACAATAATCAAGTACGATATATCATCGCATCTAAACGCTAAAATATATGCAACAATATAAAATAAAAATATTCAAAACAAAAATAATTATTATAAACTTCTTAAAAAAATATTAATCTATTATTTAAATTAGTTATTTATTAAATTATGAATTATTTATTTAATTATTTATTAAAAATATAAATAAGGAGTACTAATTTATTTGAATATTACCTATTAAAAAATTGAACAATTTTCTATGAAACTTATAATAAGATCTTAATACTAAAAAAGATTGTCATTAAAAAAATCACACAAAATTTCAATAAAAACTTAAATATTGCAATGATATGTTAGACATACGTATGTTTCTTAAGTTGTACTAAATAAGAATAAAATTATTAGAGGCAATTTTTGAAAAATTCTCTGAATGCCAAGTAATCAAATTTCATGATAATCCCCTGAATATATTAAGAAATGTGTAATAGCGTTACTTTTTCTTCGACGACGCTACTAGTCGACGGCACTCTCTGCGAAGGATCCAACCTTTTCCGTCTCTCCTCGATTACTTCGGTGTCAGAATTGCCCATCGCTGTTGCCTGCATCATCGGTTGCGTCAAGGACGCATTCACGTTCCTCGTTTTGATCAAGGGCGGATTTCGGGATTGCGGTAACGCAACCGCTCGTCTGAGAGCACCTCGCGGTGGTGACGGCGGTGGGTAGGATATACCTGACGACACACGAATGTTCCGTTTAAAATACATTTTCATAGACACATTCTCGTTTACAAATATTTGCGAATTCTATAAAGTGGTAATAAGAGTATCAAACAAAATTCTGAAACATATTTTTCTCTCTAAGGATTATATAAAGTACAAATATTAAAGCGATATTTATCCAAGCTTTCAAATAACTAATATTTGGGAATGTTTAGGAACTAATATCTGTAATAAATGATGAGTCTATATCAAACGATTCATATCTACAAAAAAAATCTACATTAAACTATATATTACAATCTTGATATTATACATATATATTACGTTTCTCTTGTGTTTGCGTCCTGGGTGACAACTCCGCTATTTCTAATAAGCAAATGGTATTAACAATGAAACATGTGGTTTTGAAAATCATAGTGATTGTGTAAAATAGTATTGAAAGAATTTTGTAAGAGTTTCTCTGATTAATTTTTATCACAATAAAAAATCTTAACATCTACCACAATAAAATATAAAATATGTTCGATTAATTTTACTATACACATATATAGTAAAATTTAGTATGTATGTACATATTAATATTTTTATTGTGGTAAATATTAATGAGAGAAACTCATAAAATGCTTCCAATATCATGTTGTCTCACGATTACCATGATTTTCAGGGAAAATTCTAAAAAAAAATTCTAAAAAATAGAGAAGCTCTGAATAAGCACTCGTGATAGTAATTTACAATGTTACACTACGATTTAATCAGCGTGCAGATTTCAAGAATGTGCAAGACTATGTTGTCAGCACGAATCTTTTATTGCACTTTCGGTCTCGGAAAAGTGTACAAACATAGACACAGAAATCCGCGTCGGTAATTGCTACCTCGGTGTCCTGGTGAGAGCAAGGTGTCTTTGCTCTTCGTCATCTGCGGCACGATGAGCAACGAGTTCGGTGGCGTCGGCGACACAGTAGAAGTTTGCGGCGAGGTAGCCAGCGTCAGATTGGGTAGCGACTGACCCAGACTCGAGTATGGCACTTGGACACTCAGCGTGTTCGGCGTCGGGGATTTACTCAGCAACGAGCGCCTGATTCGAACAAGTTTTAGTTTTAACAGAGTTGTTTAATGGAGTCCATTCACGTGCGCCAGATTCCAATTGCGTTCACCTTATGGATCTGTGATTATGCCCGGAACTGGATTCGCCACCTTCTTCCGACGACAAGGAACTCGACGCTCGCGGTTGTTCGTTGGTCTCCACGCTGACGTTTCTGCTCGGATTGTAACTCGGCAGGAAGCTGCTACTTCCCGGAGACACGCCTTCCATCTCCATACTGCCGCTAGAAATAATGGAACGCGTTTTGTAGATATTTTAAACACATTTGTGTCAAAATGACGTCACTAAACGTCAAATGACGTCACAAACGTCAAATGACGTCACTAAACGTCAAATGACGTCATTAAACGTCAAAATGACGTCATGTGCTACTTGGGAAGGCTTCGAGGGTTCTGTTTTTTTTTTACTTTTTAAAACACACCTATGACTATGAGCGAGACTGCTAACATGTGAGGCTCTACTACTGCCACGCGGAGTTCTTGGAAAGGTTCCCTCACATTCTTCCCCTTCGAAATCACCGTCGCCCAATGTGCTCGGTTGCCTGCTAACTGTTGCAAGATTCATCACTGGCTCGGCACCGAGCGACGATACTTTCAACAATGCAAATTGCTGCTGGGCGTGTCTCAAGGATTCCATCCACGACTGAAAAAGCATGCGGTACTGTTAGTTTAAAACAACTTCTGCTCGTTAGAACTAGGAACCATTAGCTAAAAACATGAAGATTGATAGCCATTGCGGTTTCACCGACATATCGAGCAATTTGAACTTTAAATTTAATTAATTCGATCTTCTCTAGATTATTAAAAAATTGTATTATGGTTACATATGAGCTAAAAAGCAAGATAAAGATTTAATTTCAACTATTACCGCTAGTTAAGCGACATTAGTGAAAACCGTCATCGTTAGTGAAGGTACCCTACGAACGCGGAATCTAAATCGAACGGAACAGCGAATCAACATTCCGCAAACTTCGTCGTAATTCGTGATGTTTGTCAAGTTACCTTGGCTAGTTTCGGGTCACCGGCGCTCAGGATTAAAGCGGCCGAAACTGTCCCGTACTCGTTAAGATAAACCAATCCGAGACTGGACGGTTCTTTGACCTCGTGTATTCGTATGCGGTCGACAACATACGGTTGCCTAATGATCTTAAACATTTTTTTCGTTGTAGGTTTGCAAATTAGCAACATGTCGGTCAATAACAGTACGTGCACTTCCATCTGTAAAGGATACAATTAATAGACTGTAATTTCTTATTTCATCACAGAGAATCAATTAATTGTTTGCTACTTTACTGTTACTTTACTTCATAAAATAGATCAAATTACAATAGAATTATTTTCAATTATTTCGCATATTATCGACAATAATTGTGGATACTTTTTTCAATCTCCCCAGATAGCAAAAGTAGTCATATATTGTATTTCTGAATGTAATTTTATTTGATTCATCGCATAATTTTGATCTGCATGATTAAGTAATGATCTGCATCGTCGCACACCTTGCTGGTGGCGTCTCTCAGTTTCAAATCCCCCTCTCGAAGAAGAGTTCTCAGGCTATCCTTCGGACACCCGGGCATCGGCACCGTGGTGATGTCGAGATTGCTGTACAGTTTTATCAGTTTCTCCACTTCCTCATCGAGACCTTTAGATTCCACGACGTCGTAACTCTCTAGGCGGGAGGCTGCGCTGTCCAGCTGAGCAGCCTCCTCGTTCTTCCTCAGGGCCGCGTTCACGGACGCCACGAAACCGTCGACAGACTTGATCTATATGCGAAAAGAATCTTTCGAATTAAATTATCGCTTTTGTGAGTTTTCCTCATCACGCTTTCTTTTGGTACCAATTAAAGTAAAAATTCATAAAATTTGCTTTATTTGTAAAATGCATTTCTCTTTCGCTTTGCGGTCTTTATCTGATATATTAATAAGAGAGAAAAAATTGGAAATTTATTTTACCATATGGACTAATTCCGCACGTTGCTCCTCGTTCTCGGTATTTTTACAAACGGCTTTGAGCAGAAGCGAATACCTAGTTAGCCTCTGCATCGGCATCACTAATATGTCCATAAGTTTCAGTCGGTTGCAGTCCTTTTGCGTTTCGCACCACTGTAATAATAATTGAAATGCTGTTAATGTAACTATTATTTTTATTTTTATTAATGATTTCTTACAATAATGGTTCATCATCAAAATCATTACAAATTTATTTAAATGGTTCATCATCGTCAATCATTAAAAATTTATGTTTATATACGTATTACATATACATATATAATATAATTCAAGATTTTTTCAATTTATTCTCGTGTGACATGTCCTTATCTTTATGTACAGGTATAATGTGTACGCGGTGTTTGGGTTAAAATCGCTTTGCTAATAATTCAGATTAAACCGCAAACTTCCTGACCACTTCCGTAATAAATTGGCCAACAACTGACTCTGTGAAGCTTCATCATAACATATATATAGGGGCAGATAGAAAGGATTAGTAGAGTGTGTGTACATACCACGAGATACGCCGTGAAGAGCTGATTATCATTCAGCCGGTCCTTACAATATTGCTGACACTTGCTTTGCTCGGCGCAGTATCTCGTGTAAGGCGCGAAGATCTGCTCGAAAGTTTCGAAGCCCAGGAGAAGATGACCGGGATCGAGCGGGTGTCCGCTCGATCTCGACGTATTCACCATCGTGAGCAGATACTCGGTCCAGAAGTAGCGATTAGCGGCGTAGATATCGGGTATATTGCTGAAGAGCTTCGACCTGTCAACCTCGTTCAGGATATTCGAGGCTTGCAGACTACAGAGGCACGCCATGAAGAGCTGCGATATATCAGAGACGATGATCATCATATTTTAGGGGGATTAACAACTTTTATCTCAATTCCTCTTCGAATTGTAACTGCAGTGAATTTTTACTCTCAGATATTCAGGGACACTCACTTTAATCGTCCCAGGCAAATATTTCAAACAAAAGTTTTTTAACTTTAAGGGAGACATAAGATGGTGTCATTGATTTGACCTTGTATAATCATTTGAAGGGCACTTTCAATTTCTTAAATGGAACCTACTATTTTTCATTACATATTCTTGTAGTTTATCTCGAGTTTTGGAAAATACTATAATAAAATATTTTTCTCTCAAGTACTTTTTGAGTTTTTAAGGTTTGAAGTTAACAATTTGATGACACCATCTCATGCTCCCCTTAAAGTCAAAAAACGTATTTGAAATTTTTTCGCATCTCTTCTAGTTTCTGAAATAATTACTTAGGACGATTAAAATGAATCATCTTATATATTCATCAATTTTTCATTAATTCAATTATACAAGGTGTCCCATAGGAAATTGCTGAAACTAATCAGCTGTCATTTTTTAATGCATGCAGTTATTGAGAAAACATAAAGAGAAAAGTCTGCACTTTTTAATGGATATAAATAAAATGTTTGTATATCAGTTTATTTTATTGAAAAAAAGTAATAAAAAAGTGCTAATAATCGAAGTGCGCACCATTTAAATTTGTACAAAATTCTGTTCTTTTACGAAAACTCGTAAAAACTTTTTCTATAACACATCTTTTTTAATATTATTGACGATTCTTTTAAAAGCTGCTATATTAAATCTGGCACTGCTGAAAATATTTATCATTAGTTTATGTGATTATTAGCACTTTTTCATTACTTTTTATCAATCAAATAAATTGGTATACAATCATTTTATTTATATCCATTAGAAAGTGCATACTTTCCTCTTTTCAACACAATTTTTGTTTTCTCAATAACTACATGCATTAAAAAATGACAGCTGATTAGTTTCAGTAATTTCCTATGGGATACCTTGTATTTAATTCGATATAGAATGGATTCGGCGGCACGAAAATGAAGTTATGTAAATGATAGAAACGCGCAAATTGTAATGAAACATTTTACTCACGTCGGTTACGACCTTTAACGTTTTAATGTAAGCCACTTCGGTTTCGGCCAACTCCCAGAGAGCGGTTTGTTGCTGTGTTTGTTTCTCCGAGAGGTGGTGAGCATTCTCCACGATATTGCGCCAGTCATCTTCTAAACTGTAGAGCGCTGAAACAATATAAAGAGTAATGACACTTACATTACAATGGTATGCCCGAGGCTCTGGCTAAACTATATGATTTGTTCGGAATTGTTCTTTACACATCAGAAAAGATATATATACAGAGTGTCCCATTTTAATGTCCCACTCCAAATAAGTTTTTATTTTTGATTGTAGAAAAAAATGTTTCAGAAAAAGTTGTATGGTTTCGAGGAGGACATAAGGTGGTGCCATTAGTTTGACCTTGAATAGTTGCTTGAGGGTCATGTGAAGATCACCTTTAATTTCTTAAATAAAACCACCTACTTTTTCATTACATATTCTTGTAGCTGACATCGAGAGCTTTCCAAAATACTATAATAAAACATTTTTATCTCAAGTACTTTTTGAGTTATAAGACAAGGTCTCCTCATCTCAAGGTGACCTTTACGTGACCTTCAAGCAACTATTCAAGGTCAAACTAATGACACCACCTTATGTCCTCCTCGAAATCATACAATTTTTGTCTAAAACATTTTTTTTCTGCAATCAAAAATAAGAAACTTATTTGGGGTGGGACATTAAAATGGGACACCCTGTATATAAGTTGTTTGTAAAGCTCACAAAGAAAAATAAAAAAATTGTAAAATCACGTCGATTCGACGACAAACTATTTTGTTTAAAAAACACACAGAAACGTTCCTTATTCATTGACTTTCGATTTTCGATACTGCAAGCGCTAACGGAGGGATGCTATTAGTAATTTAAATTACTACAACGTTGCCGACCGCATTTCGTGTATATATATATATATATATATATATATATATATATATATATATACACATCTATATATGTACATATATATATACGATACTTTAGAATTAATTTTGCCTGACTCAAACATTTGCACTCGAAGAAAAACATTTTCCGCGAAGTGGAGGTAAAAGGAAGAAGAATAACATGACTCTCTTCGACAACAGTCATTAAGCGGAGTTTCTCAAACTTTACAAATTTTGTTTGCATGTAACAACCGGTGGGTGGTGAAGAAGGAGAGTTTAAACGGTCTTTCGGGATGAAGATGTTTTTCGAAGAGAGAACACACGTTAAGCGAAAATGGACGATTTCGAGCGGCGACGATCATTGAAGCAGTTCCCTCCGAATTCCCAGCTTGCCATTACTTCCGAGATTTCGAGAGAATAGATGCACTAGAGAAGCGCACAGGGTGGAATTCGAACCTTCTTCGTTGATCGTCAGATCACATTGAAGATTCGGGAGTTTCGGCACGCCGTGCTTGTTGTACTCGTCCAGTTGGGCAGTTAAGAGGTCCATCTTGATACCCTTGGTGTTGGTGAAGAACCCGCTCCAGCGCTGCTTGCTGGCCTTGAGTCCCGCAGCCCCAGCGGAACCTCGACCAGAAGCGAGCGTCGTGCAGGAAGCGCCAACCTCGGAATCGACGTTCGTATCTTCGGTGGAGACGCTGAAGAAACGACCGCTCCGGCCTCGATAATGATTCTGTGAACAATTTATTGTATCTAATTAGTAAGAGATTTCATCACAGCGATCAGGATTAGACAGATACTTTGAAACAAAATATTTAAATACAAGATACTGTTTGACATATATTTAAATACTACTGCAATACTTTAATTTTATTGAAATATATTTAAATACTACACTGAAAAAAAAATTATTGAATTCAAATAAGTATTTATTTCAATACTGCCAAATAAATTATTTATTTGAAACTAGTAATATTAATTTAATATAAAATATATTTATTTGATATAAGAAAATCTTTTTTAAAACAAATAAAATATTTATTCATTTCAAACAAATCATTCATTTAGGATGTAGTGTGTACTTATTTTCAATAAATGAATAGCCAGTTTTTGGTCGAATTAAATTGCATATTATTATTTGTTAAAAATTTCAAGCTTTAAAATCCTTTTTTAAAACTTAAATTTTAAAAAAGGATTTTAAAGCTTGAAATCTCTATTTTCGAAAGATTAGAGTTTTTTTCATTTTCTTCAATTCTGATATTTTTTATATACAGAAAACAACGAACATAACGAAATGAAACATTTTTAATTTAAATTTTAATTTTTCCTTATCTATATAGTTATCGCACATTGAAGAGAAAATGAATTTTAAATAATAGTAGATAATCTTTTGTAATTACTTTAATATTAAGTGTATAGTATATATAATCAGAAAATTTAAAAAATAATTGTATTTAAAAGTATTTATAAATGTATTTATATACAATTAGTATTTAAATATATGTCAAACAGTATTAAAATTTGCCCATTTTTGGACAATTTTTTGATTCCTTAATTATTTTAAGGAGTGTATATTCAGTTGTTTCTCGTTTATTTTTGGCATTTAAATATCTCACGATATCGAGATTATTTATTAAATAAATAAGGAGTACTAATTTATTTAAATATTACCTATTAAAAAACTGAACAATTTTCTATGAAATTTACAATTTATATAAGATCTTGAGATATTACAAATAGATTGTCAATAAAAAAATCATGTTTCTTAAGTGCTAAATAAGAATAAAAAAATTAACAAGAACAATTTTTTTAAAAATTATTTAATTTGGCTGTCAAAAATAAAATGGAACACTCTTTTCTATATGTACAATAAAGAAAATATTTCTTCGAAAAATAATATTGTGCTAGTCTTAAAAAGAGAGGGAACTGTGTCTGAAATTAATCTGTATTGTCAGAAAATTCATGAAGATGCCGAACGAAAACTCGTTCACTTTGTCAAACAATTATGCCGCATCAGATCGAAGGCTTCTCGAAACGAAGGCAGCATTCTAGAAATTGCTCGTTGAGTTCTCGTGCTTCATAATCCGCTATCGAGTGTGTGCTGGCAACGCCATGAATAATGTATCGCTCCCAATGCGCCAACCCGTGTCAGGAGAAGCTTTCCCAGCATTTTATGAACGTTATCCTTTCGTTGTGCAACCGCGTCTCCGCCGCGACAAATCGCTCTCGTTACGCTACCATATCGCGTTATGCATTACTGTATTTATAAAAACCTTTCCTCATACGTTCATTGATTTTACATTTAACGCAATTTTATTCCTATTTTTCCCCCTTTTAATTCTACGAAAGAAGGAAGCGCTGCTGATGAAATATTAACCGATCTAAGATGCGGAAATTTTCCCCTAATGCGAATAAAGAATATTTTATTCCTTAAATATTTGATAAATAATGTCATTTTGATTTTATTTCGAAGATCTTCGTTGCCCATTTAAGATGATTTTACAGGGTGTCTACTCAAATTTTGTAAAAAAATTTCTGAATTTCTTGATAAAAATAAAGATATAAAACAAAAATAATTTATTATAAAGGCCTCAAAAAATACGCAATTTTATTCCTATTTTTTCTCCCTTTTAATTCTACGAAAGAAGGAAGTTGCGCTGCTGATGAAATATCAGCCGATCTAAGGTTACGGAAATTTCCCCTAATGCGAATAAAGAATATTTTATTTCTTAAATATTTGATAAATGATGTCATTTTGATTTTATTTCGAAAATCTTTGTTGCCCGTTTAAGATGATTTTACAGGGTGTCTACTCAAATTTTGTAAAAAAATTCCTGAATTTCCTGATAAAAATAAAGATATAAAACAAAAATAATTTATTATAAAGGCCTCAAAAAATACTAATTTATTAAAATTAATTATTTATTAAATAAATAAGGAGTACTAATTTATTTAAATATTACCTATTAAATATTTGATAAATAATGTCATTTTGATTTTATTTCGAAAATCTTTGTTGCCCGTTTAAGATGATTTTACAGGATGTCTACTCAAATTTTGTAAAAAAATTCCTGAATTTCCTCATAAAAATAAAGATTTAAAACAAAAATAATTTATTATAAAGACCTCAAAGAATACTAATTTATTAAAATTAATTATTTATTAAATAAATAAGGAGTACTAATTTATTTAAATATTACCTATTAAAAAACTGAACAATTTTCTATGAAATTTATAATTTATATAAGATCTTGAGATATTACAAATAGATTATCAATAAAAAAATCATGTTTCTTAAGTGCTAAATAAGAATAAAATTAACAAGAACAATTTTTTAAAAATTCCCCGAATTCCAATCAAATTCTTTAAGAATTCCTTGATAAAAATAAAAATATAAGAAATGATTTATTCTAAACGTCTCAAGGAATACTAATTTATTTATTTATTAAAGTATTTCTTAAATAAATGAGTACTAATTTATTTAAATATTATCTATAAAAAAACATTAAATTTCCTATGATAATTTATAGAAGATCTTGATACTAAAAATAAATTATCGATGAAAAAAAAATCACAAAAATTTAAATATTGTCAGGATGTGTTAGACACATGTTTTTTAAGTACTAAATAAGAATAAAATTAACAAAAGGACAATTTTTAAAAAAAATTCCTGAATTCCAATTGAATTCCACGAGAATTCCTTGGTTTCTTTTAACAAAATTCCCCGAGAATACCAAATTTTCAAGATTTTTCCCGAGAGTATACACCCTGTTTTAAAAGAAGCTGAATTTCTTGCTCGATTACGCAGAATGGCAATATTTCGTTTTAATTTTGCAAGAATAAAAATTCCTCGGCGACATTCCAAGGACGATAAAGACGAGCGAAATATCATTGTAAAGTAGTAAATTTATTGCACGGCGATAAAAGTCTTTCTCCCCCGTGTAAATGTGTATTTCGATGTATATGCGTTAATGTAGCGTAATCAATGCCTTTGCCTGCTCGTTTCACGTGACGCAAAACGTGGGTAGATTTCATCTATAAAGTGTACCGTAATAACAGCGATAGCGGATCTTTATTGCAATCTATCGTGTCTTTAATGTGCTGTCCGTCACGCCGAAAATACAACGACGATCTCTAAAGCGCACCCTTCGCGTGAATTTTCCCAGCAGCAGCTACAATGGACTATGAAAAAAATAAAAAAAAAATTTTTAATCCCTCGAAAAAAAGAGATATTATATACAGATGTTTTAGAACTTATCTTTGCATCCCTTCATGCACACTGAGAAAATTTTCTCTTAGAATTTACCTTAAATATCATAGTAATCGTGGGACAATATAATATTGGAAAAATTTTATAAGAGTTTCTTTAATTAATATTTTAAATATTATAATATAATATATTAGATAATATATATATATATATTATATATAATATAATATATAGAATATATAGTATATATATATATATATATAGATTATATTATCTATTATATAATATATATATATTATTATATTATAATATAATAATATATTAATATTAGTATATATATAATATTATGATATATAATATAAAATATAATATATTATATAATATTATATTTATTGTAGTATATACTACCCAAAAATATTAATATCTACCACAATAAGATATAAAATATATTCAATTAATTTTATTATATACATAGTAAAATTTACTATGTATTAATATTTTTATTGTGATAAATATTAATCAGAGAAATTCTTATAAAATTCTTCCAATATTGTATTGTTCCACAATTAACATAATTTTCAGAGTAAATTCTAAGAGAAAATTCTCTCCGTGCATTAACAAAATTTAAACAATTTTTTTGTGCATGAATAAAATGTTTAAACAATTATTCGATCGATTTTCCGCTGTTAAAATTGCAGTTGCAAGAAAAATAAGACTTTAATACGTTACAATGGAAAAGCGAGAGTCGAAAAATGAATCATCGGAGCTGTGTGTCGGATCAAATGGGCGCTTATTCTACTGAACCGCCTGGAACCCGGGGGGCTTTGCCTTTGACACTCAGGATTAAAACTTGTTGGTTTTATTTGTGTCCGGATTAGAGCTCTACGCTGAATCGACGGAAACACGAGAGATTACACTGCTGACCAAGTGGATTCATCCCGGTTGTATCCGGCATGGACGAGGCAGCTGCGTCGCGCGAATCAAGTTGGAATGCTGACATAATTGTTGTTCGGACAAACAATAGCGCAACGTTCCACACACATACACAAAGACAATAATTGCACCAAGACACTGGAATTCGGATATAATTCTATATATAATAATACTATAGAATAACAGTTCGAATTAAGATTATGGATTATATAGACTTTTTTCTGACGCAGAGAGACAAATTTTCTATTGTATTTTTGCGCCTTTCTTAACCGAGAAAATATGACATAAATATGTAATAATATAAATATAATATAATATATAAATATAAATATAATATAAATATAAATAACATAAATATGTAATATAAATTAGATGTAATTATATTTACAAAATTGTAATAATTTTTAAATTCAATTTTTTTCAAATTAAATTAAAAATTATAAAATGCAATTATAAATATATTATATTTTATTTATAATTTTATTATTGTATAAATGTAATATAAATACATGTATAAATTATAATTGACAAAATTGCAGTTTTTTTTAATTCAAATTTTTTCAAGTTATATTTATAAATAAATTATAAATAAATAAAATAAATATAGAAAATTATATGCATATATAATAATTCATAAATAAATAAATAAAATTATAAATAAAAAATTATAATCGTAATAATATATACATATATTTTATAATTATAAAATATAATTATAATAAAATTATAAATAATAAAATTATATTTATAAATTATACTATAAATAAATAATATATATATAATAATATTATATGCATATAATTCATAAATAAAAAAGGTTATAAATAAAAAATAATAATCGTAATAATATATATTTTATAATTATAAAATATAATTGTAATATAAAATAATAAATAAATAAAATAATAAATAAATAAAATAATAAATAATAAAATGATATTAATAAATGATATTTCACGGCAATTTTCTCGTAAAAATTTCGCCGCGAGAGGATCTCATTCCTGATATCGACAGTATATTAACCGGTGATGTGCCGTCCGCGCTTTCGACGCGGCTTTGTTCGCGCCCGACGAATCGTTTCGCGATTTGTCTCTGTCAGCTTGGCCGTATTGTTGCTCCCGTATCAATGGGTCAAGGCTTGGAAAAGGACTACAGGCATCATATTGTTCACGGATGTTAAAGCGCCCCTTCATCTTCTTCGCAGAGCGCGCCGCGCAAAAGAAAATGTTTGCGAGACAAAGTGCGCTCGTGTTTGACGAATGATGATGTACGTGGACATACTATACAGGGTGTCCCATTTTAATGTCCCACCCCAAATAAGTTTTTTTATTTTTGATTGTAGAAAAAAATGTTTCAGACAAAAATTGTATGATTTCGAGGAGGACATAAGGTGGTGCCATTAGTTTGACCTTGAATAGTTGTTTGAAGGTCACGTAAAGGTCACCTTGAGGCGAGGAGACCTTGTCTTATAACTCAAAAAGTACTTGAGATAAAAATGTTTTATTATAGTGTTTTGGAAAGCTCTCGATGTCAGCTACAAGAATATGTAATGAAAAGTAGGTGGTTCCATTTAAGAAATTAAAAATAACCTTCACATGACCCTCAAGCAACTATTCAAGGTCAAACTAATGGTACCACCTTATGTCCTCCTCGAAACCATACAACTTTTGTCTGCAACATTTTTTCCACAATCAGAAATAAAAAATTATTATCTGAGGTGGGACATTAAAATGGGACACCCTGTATACATATATACTTTTTGCAAAAAATTATTCCGAGATGTAGATACAGGCTGTCCTTTGCGTTGACGCGATATACATATAATCGCGTTGCAAATGTTGCGACACGAGATATTTAAGTCTCCTTAATGTAAGAAATCTCTTTAATCTCTTAAAAGTCGAGTTAATAAAATTTTAATTTGTGAGAAAGTTGTAAGCTGGGAAATTTATCACTTGCACACATGTATATGCCGTCGTGAGATTCAATTTAAAGTATTACTTTGGCGGAAGTGAGCTACTTACTCCACTGGTTTTCCGCAACGGCACATTCTGGTTTCCTCTTTGACTCGGCGTTCGAGAATTCAATCTTTCATCCTTAACTGAAATGAGAAAACGAGAGTTACTAAATTACGTGTATCTCTTTATGTAATAGGCTTCAATTAATCAGGTATTTTTCTTATAATTATTATATTCTCTCATAAAGTAATTTCTGTCCAATAATAACTTGGATTGTAAATCAAAATATTATATTATATTAATTTTATATATAATACGTACATACAATAAAAATAATAAATTAATATATATGTATAATATTATATTAATATTACATATTATAAATATTTTTATATTTATACACTGTAAAAATATGTAATATATTGCATAAAAATAAGTAAAATTGCATAAATAATAAGTGTAAAATTACACGATAAATAATGAAAATGTATACGTTACATAATAATGTAATTATTTACATAATAATGTAAAATTACATAAAATATATAAAATTACATTATATTTACATGAAAATGTATATAATTTTATTATTTAATTATATTGTAATTTTACACATATTATTTATGTAATTTTACTTGTGTATTTTTTGCAGTGTATTATATTATATAATAAATAATACAAGATTTGCAATATATTAATGAGAGATTGCACAAAAAACAAATCTCACACACTCTGCGACACATTGCGCAATTCTCCGTTCGCATAAAAGGAGCGAGAAAATCGAATCCTCATTCGATACTTTTTTCCGGCGCAGAAAATGTCATTTTCAGCATCCACGGAACGAATTTGTTTCACATTTAAACGCCTACAAAGCATATCGTATTTGAAAATGGCACGGCTGAGGATCGCAAATTTGAACGCCTTTGTTGCTGACGTGCGTAATATACCTTTGTAAAATCGTGAGGAAATCGAGAGGACCCGTTTAAATATGCCCGGGGCATCCGAATTTTGAGAGCTTTTCTACGGCCGATGTGCCGATATAGTTCGCGACTCACGTTCGCATCTGAACTTTACCTTTATCGGGCGCAAAAGGATCAAAGGATCAAAACGCATTATAAGGGTCGCTGTTGGCATTAACTCTACCATTATCCAGGGATAACTGGATCACTTATGCTCGTCTATTGACCCTATTAAAACTTCATTATCGTTTTGTGAAAATAAAAATGTAAAGTGGATCACGTACCTCTTTGTTTTTTTTGTTTCAAATATACGTATTGAAGTTTCGCAGAGAGGAGAGAATTCATTTTGAAGGGCAAAGTTCTACGTTTTAATTTATTTTTTATTTAGCCTCTTCCTCTTTGTATCACTGTGATCATAGAGAGTTTATATGTATATGTGATTCCCAAGTAGCAAACTGACGTCATTATACGTCAAAATGACGTTTAACGATGTCATTTTGATGTTTAATGACGTCATTTCGACGCTTAATGACGTCATCGGTGTCAAAATAATGTACACTTGTTACTTGGGTTAAATTATTGTATCTATAGTATACTATGAATATATCTGTATATATTAAATTTGATTAAATTATATAATATTCTGAATTATATGCAAACAGCGTTGTTCTTAGATGATTTTAAAATTAGATTCATAAAGATGAGATGTAAATTGTAAAAATATGTAAATTCATCTTATTGTTATAGATGAGATAAAGATAATTTTGTTTTAAATATATCTAGATAAAAGATAAAATTATATGGCGATTCATCCAGATAATTTTCTAGATAATGATTTTTAAGACTGCTTATATAAACACAGTTATAAAAAAATGCAAATTATAAAAAGGATATAAAAATATATGTATTCATATTTTTATTTATAAATTTTTATCGCTTACTGCTTAAGTTCTATTATTTAAGTATTTTTATGTGCTATGATTCTAAATCAAAATTATCTGAAAATTATTCTAGATAATTTAGTAAAGATAATACTTTTTTCGTCTAAATTGCAGATATAGATAATACATATATTATTATCTATATAAAGATAAGATGACGCCAAAATTTTATCTACATGTATAAAATATATATATATATATTTTGTTTTTATCTATATAATTTTATTTAGATAACAGCAGAGTTAGACAAGTTAATAATTTTTTTAAAACTACGTTAGTTGCTTATAAAATTAATTTAATTAAGTTAAAGTTGCAAGAACAAAAAATTAACTTCGTTAAAGTTAAGATTAAGTTAGAATTTTGTTTATTTTTTTTTAATTTAAATAACGAAAAAACAATTTTGATTTATATTTTTTGGTAATTACAATTGATGACAAATGAACATAAAAATTAATAATACTTTAATTTAAAAATACGTTTATAACTTATTAAAAAAAAAAAAAAAACAATAAATTTAATTTATTGTTAAGAAAAAAGTGAATAAGTTTAAGGTTAAAAATAACTAGTTGAAATAAAAAATTAATACATTTTAAATTAATGAAGCTAAGTTATGAAGTTTTAACTAATGAACTAGTTATTACCCAACTCTGAGTTATATATTACGTTTGCACATATATGTATAGATACACTATAGATATGACGCTTTAATTACAGTCCGTTACATCGCATCGTCGCAATCGCCTTGTTACGGATTTAGTTAGTTTCGAATTTTAATTACTCCAAGTTGCATATCGTCCCTATATTGGCTCCACTATACTCGTCCGTCTATCGACATCTGAGTCCAGACAGCGACCAGTTATTCCTATCGCGGTTCCTTCTTGAGCGCACGAGAGGGCGTTCTGCAACTAGTTCTGGGTTTAATTTCGTTGCGGTGTGGCAGCTTTTCAATCGGTCTCGACAAAGCGGGCGCGACCGAAAGAAAATCGTTTACCCATTTGCCCCGTCGAAGACATGTATTGCAATTTTGTTTCCGTCCGCGCGGAACGGAAGTCAATTTCTACGTGGCGCTCTTCATTTTCTGATAAGCGGCGATCAATTTTGACATTTCCAACGCGGACGAGAACTTCGCGCGATCGAACTTTTTTCCCCGAGGTCAAGAATATTTTCAGGAATCGCGCGCGCGAAGAATATCAATGCCTCATTATATATATATATATATATATATATAGATTTTTTAAAAATAAAAATATAAAAGTGAAACAAAATTGAAGGAATTGGTTTGGGCCAACTAACGAGATAAACATATGAAGTTTTAATTGATTCAAATAAATATAATAAAGAGAATTTTTTATTATTATTAGTTTTATTAAAATCTGACAGAATTATTAATGTTTTGGAATTCTTTTGGGACAATAGCTTAGCAATTTTTATTTTTATTCATTCTATACAGTCATTTTATTTAACTTATTATTATTAATATAACTTTTTATACGTTTAATTTTTGTACTTTGATTTTATTGTTTTAATTTAATTTAATTTGATATAGTTTCAATTTCTATTTTTATATTGTGTTTATCTTTATGTTTTTTTTATTATATATTTATGTACTAAGGAATAAGTTTGAAAAATGTTTACTAGTATTCGTCGATTTACTATGTTCATTTTAAATTAAATATTAATATATATCCTATATATATTAATAATATAATATAAAAATAAATTAAAACTGGTCCAGACACCTCATATTTTGTCTTATTAGTTAGTCTTCTAATTCCTTAAATATATTTTTTATTTCGATCGATTTCGATATTATGAATATTTAATCGGTTAATCGCCATTTAAATAAAGCATTGCTGCTATTATTTTTGCTGGTATCTATTTTTCAAGCTCGTAACAAGCTGCAAGTATAGTAATCATCAATGTCTGATCAATGTCAGATATTACTACTGAATATTGCGGAGAAAATGAAAATGCATCATCCCACAAGAAAATTCGCCTTACTAAATTACTAGAAACCATCAGTAAATCGTCTTAACAATATAATATCAATTTATCGCGGATGTAAGAATTTCCTGCAACAGGGATTCAGAAGCTGAAATAGCTATTGTTACATTCGTAACCCATTACTTTTGCGCCATATGAGCTCTTATCGCTTTTGAATGATATTGCGCATTTTTCCTATCCTCCGCACAACGATTACAAAAGAAGGAGACTTTTAGCTCTCGGCTCTCTCCCTCACTCAAAGAATATTATTGGCGATCTGTCGATCATGGATGAACATATATCCTGATTACCCGTTTCTGCCCGACGTCGAGGAAATTGAACATTTTTCCGACACATTTTTCGCTTCGTGTCGTCGTCGTCCCTGAAATTACGCTCGCATTACGTGTATTTTCGGTCCGAGCTGATTCTTGAAAGTATGCAATAGAATATCGTTTCGCAATCATAGCTGCACAAAAGAATTGTATTAGAGTAAATTCGGATAAGATGGCCATAAAAAAATTTTTATTTTTTTAAATAATATTTGCTACGTTACTTCACTGAAAAACATACATATTTAGCTTTTTTATTTTTATATATTAAACATTAATATATTATTAAACAAAAATTTGCATAAAAAAATAAGATTGATTTTAATTATATCAATATTAATAATAAATATTTTAATAATAAAGGTGAGCCATCTTACTTAAAAAGTTAAGAAAAGATATAGACCATAGTATTATAAAAAAATAGTAAAAATGAAAATAAAAATTATGGCTTATATTATAATTTATATACTTTCGTTATGTGCCTAATGTTGATTATGACAGCTCAACTATATAATTTATTCAAAGTTATAGCGTTTTTAGTGAACAAATAAAAAATTTGAAAGTAATCAAAAATAAAAACATGATACAATATTTACAATTTGTTATTCCGAATAATATTTACCGCACATAAACTATGGTTAATATTATCTTTGAAAATAATAAAAAACGCATTATTTAGCGTTTGTTAGAAAAATTGCAGTTTGTGGCCATCTTTTATGGTCATACCCTATTAATAACTAGTTAATTAGTTAAGTTAAAAAAAAAGTTAAAAAATTTATAACTTTTAACTTAGCTTAGTTAATTTAAAATGTATTAATTTTTAACTTCAACTAGTCATTTTTGACTTTAAACTTATTAATTTTTTTCCTAAGTTAATTTTTTAATCTCTGAATATTATATTTTTTTATAAAATTATAAACGTATTTTTAAA